CAATTGACATGCGCCGACAATAGCAAAATTAGGAAAATTTAAGTTGTGATATGTGAAATAAACGAAAAATTTGTGAAGCGTCTAATTCATTATTAGAAAATCGTACCGTTCTCGAACTGGAACTCACGAGGGGGAAGAGCACGGCAGAGAAACTCGTTCCAAACATTCCTCAAAAATCAAAACATACTGTGTCATTTCAATAATTAATTGTGAGTCAATAATAGTTATTTACACTACAAGTGCGTTTATGAACACGATTACAATAACGAGTGTGAAAGATTAGAACCACGAGGTCCTAAACTGAGTCTTTCTAATCACACGAGTTTTGTAGTCATGTTTAACGCACGTGTGATGTACAACGTTTTATCTACAAAGCGAAAAATAAGAATGTTTCAATCATTTTCGTTTATTAGTCGTTGTCTACCTTCATCTTACCTTTACAGGTTTTACTTTGACATTTCATTTGTCAAATCACCAGAAATAGTTGTGTTATGAATTCATAACCTAGTCCAAAACACCACTAGTTGTATTATGAATTCTTAACCTAGTCCATAACACCACTGTTCTGTTATGAGTCTCATGACATTACTCAAATACTGGAAAAATGGTTATGTAAAAACGTCACAAGCAAACGCTTGTAGATAAAAGTTTAGACCGTCCTTTGTCCTTGTGCTAAAATTTTAGTTCCACACACCACATTCAATCAACACTACCTATATTCAATACTGAAGAGTTTTTGGTTAGTTAGACAGTTCTACCAGCAGGTACTGAGGTCCCTGGTTACGGGAGGCTACTCAGCTGTAGTTGTTATTTCGAGCCAATATCTCTAGATTGATTTTTCAATTTGTTTGCTAGGATATTCGCTCGTCAGGGTAGGAAAGAGTTAGTAGATTCAACAAGGCCCTAATGTACGCTCTGAATACCAAAAATTAAAATCCCACCACAAAAGACAGCACATAATTTATTTGGTTTTAATATACTTCTATATACGTTGTTCACAGCATGAAAACACTTTTGTTTAAATACACGTGCACATGCTATAAAAAATGTTATAAACAAACAAAAAAACATAAAAATAAAAAAAATATTACTTGTATAAATTGAACTCTCAAAAACAAAATAACAATTATTCAAGTGACCTGTGGATGCTTCTTATGACAAACAAACTCATCACAAATTGGATTGAACAATCAGTTAAATACAAAATAAAAATTGAATAACGAACAATGGCGGACAAGCGGTCTGAGGGACAAGCTTCTTCTCTGTCTCTCATTTTCTATCTACCTATCCTTCGGTATTTTTCTTGTGGCGCGTCCCCGTTCCCATAAATTTCATAGCATGCAACATTTACTTTTGTTTAGGAAACGTTTTAAGAATTTGAGATTTGAAGAAACAATATTTCAAATACGTGGTTTTCCTTAGTATGGGACCAATAAATTCTACAAATATTTAACAAAACTATTCCAAACATGCAGAGATAAACATGAACTACTGGAAGAGTGAAAAATAAGCTATTCAACGATATATGAGAAAGGAGACAAGGAAACGAATGCGAAAACCACCGAGAAATTGCAGTGACAAGAACAAACCGGTTTTAGAGCAGGAAGATCAACTGGAGACCACTTATCCAGTTTGACCCAGGTAAAAGAAGCATAATCAGCAAAGGTTTAACAACAACTAAAGGACTTAAACATTCACCTAATTTTGAGGGTGCTTCTCTTCTTCCTCTATATTTCCTATCCGGTCATCCCTGACCATCTTCTTTTATCATCTTTCACCACTTGGAGTGAAAGAAGAGCTTTTCTTATACCAAGGCAGTACCACTTGGTCCTGTAAATTCGTGTCTGGATCTGGATAGCGATTTCCCATTTTTAACTATGCCTTTCCCACACCCAACTAAACTGAACATAGGGCTTCTTTTTGGTGGCGTACTGCTCACCTCTGGAACTTCCTGCCTCCTACTTTATTTCCTGACCGATTAAGGCTTAACGTGTTCAAACAGAGGGTTAATCGTCCACTCAATTTCTTTCGCTCATGTACCGCTTAGGTAGTATAGAATGTGTCTTTTGTGAGCGCACCAATATAAAAAAATGGAGAACATGATGTTTTCTGTTGCAAATAAAATGCAGCTTTTGATTAGATTGGCTCAGTTCCTCGGTTCTGGTATCAAAATAAAAGCAAATACATAGCATTTAAATTAATAATTTTGGATTTGTAATAAATATCAATCTGATAATGATTAAAATATATTGCTATAATTTTCTGTAGAACTGTACCACTTACTGAAAATCAGCCATTGTTTTCTAATAATTTTCATTTTTTTAAACTTCTAAAATGATAGTTAATTGTTGATGTGCAAGTAGGATATATTTTTAATATCCAATTTAAATCCTGGACTTGGCCAAACTCGGAAAACAAACATAAACTTCATGAGCTACCCATCATCAAATTTCGACTAGATATATTCGCTTCCGGAACACAGGTGTCGGTAAATAATAGGATTTCACGCCAGGAACAAGAATGCGTTTATCCGTTGCATTGTTCTTGTTTATGAACACCGGTCGGGAAATTATTTGACGCCATATCAAGAGGTGATTCTCGTTTTGTATAATATGCTCGAACGGAAATTAGAGCAATGACATACAACTTCTGTGTGAATGGGTTTTTGGCTTAACTTTTACTTTGAAGATAAATGGTTGAAAAAGCGCAAGCTGATTATTTGATACTTGAAGAACCGACGCCAAAAATATAGTCAAGCCATTGAGACATATTTCTACAAAGTTTGGTACTTAGTCGGTGTAACTTCGGTTTATAGTATTTTTGATCCCCTTAGTATTGTTAAAATTGACAGGTGAACAATAACACTTTATTCGGGAAAACTCTTGTTACATACATATGTTTCGACACACTTGCCCTTTTTAGACGAACTTCTAGAGAAATAATTAGAATAAAGATTATGAGATAAGACAAGATATACAGAACTACAATAAAGAAATGGCGATAAGGATCTTTGCAAAGAACAAAAACATGAAAATCTTGTAAACGGTCAACACTGATCGGTGTGCATAATTGCATAAGTTAAGAGACCCAGCAGACCCCTCATTAGTCGTAGGTAACGCAGAAGAACTGCAAAATATGTTGGCGGAACTAGAAGTGAGATCAGCCCTAAGTAGGGCTTCCTATCAAGTTTGGAAAAAGGAAATCATGTCCCAAGAAAATTTCAGTATTCATGTGGATGGTGTGATTGTGAAAAATGCCGAAAATTATGTTTTGGTACCTAAGGAACATTAAGATAGGCAAATTGAACCAAACAGCAGAAATCAGTAGAAGAATCCAAATTGGGTGGGCGGTAACTAGAATGTTTAGAACAGTTATGAGGGATTCGAAAATCATTACGAACCTGAAGATAAAGATTTTCAACATATGCATTCTTCCTGTAATGAATAATACCATGGAAACTATTTCACTAACAATAAAGTCGAGATCTGGCAAAGAACCATAGAAAGAATGATACTGGGGATGAGTGTTAGCGCACACGCTAAATAAAAATTGTCGGTAAAATTTGAATATTTAAAAAAAACACACAATTGTAGTTTCGCGCAGGGTAGAAAGTTCGCACTTGCCGAAGACAGTACATAAATTTCGTGAATGGCGGACATGTAAATTCTGTGTCCTTTGATTGTATCAATTTTTCTTAATCAATCGACCCTATTTGTGACTAAAGACCTATCTTAAAATGTGCTGGTATCATTGAAGAAGTGGTTGTGAAACACGAGAAGAACTGGGGCCCCAGAGAACCCCACAATCCGAAGTTAATCGGTGAGTACCAGGTTTTTTCTACAATAATTGCCGTTGCGTGTTTCGTTATTTTAAACCTATGGATAAATTTCTTTAGACAAATTTAATGTTAGCATTCGCATCTAAACCCAGCGTAGTCCGCTGTTAAATCTAAAATCATTGCATAACGTGTGTGTTAACAATGAGTTTCAGGGGTTATACCAGAAATGACGTGACCAGTCGAAGAAAAAAGATGATATCATAGCCCGAGTTGCGAAATTAAAATGAAGTTGACTTAAAACATCGCCCTTCAAGTCAATACCAGATGGACAAAACGTATCCTGGATAAAGGGAGGGTGTTGAGGAAACTTGAGGGAGTTAAGCTGACAGAAGAAAGGGTTGTGAGAGTCCACATAGTCAAGGGATTCGGAAGAGTCCAGTATTTCGAGAATTAAGAGAGTTGGGAGAGTTGAGAGAATGGAAAGACCTGACAGAGTGGGTCAAGACTCGTGAGAATGGAGAAAGTTGAGAGAGTGAAGAGAGTTGAGAGAGTGGATAGAGTTCAATAAGTGAAGCCAGTTGAGAGAGTTGAGAGCATTGTAATTATTGTTTGAGCCAAATTATTTAAAGGTCAAGGTGGACTGCTACTTTCTATGATTTATGGAACAAAATGGGTTTTAATAAATTCAATTCAATTCAACCTGATTAGTAAACAAATATGTATAATGTAGGAAAAACTAATAACAATTTCAAAGAGACGAATTGGAATTGTATGAATATAAGAAAACTATCACAAGAGCTTAGAGACATACTCATACAATTAACGATATTTAAAAGGGGGTAACAAACATTTACTTAATTTAATCAAAACAGCTTTATGTACGTATACCTCGAGTATAAAGCTGATTGCTTTATAAATTATAATAATAGTTACTTGTGTTTATAGCGGGATAAAGATAATGGTGATTATTGAAAAATCTCGATAATAGAGAGTGTTGACTAAAAAAACATCTTCATCCACAACGTAATAATAATTACTCAAAGCATTAACACAATATTAGCTGATATATCTTTAATGATATGAATCTTGTCACGACCACACCCAAAACTGAAACACTGGAAGGTCTTACACCCAAGCGGGTTTTGTTTTTTTTTTGCCAATCCGTTTCCGTGTATTTTTTCGTTAAATCTTTCATTACACCAAAACTTAAAATGGTCCAATATCTTAAGGACATCAACTTTTTTTAAATATTTTTTGGTATATAAAAGAAGCAAAATCGCAACAGATTATTATACAGTTTTTCGTTGTCGAAATAGGTATACCTCCAATCCAATCATGCAAGTGAGTAGAAAATTGGATATTTAATTGATTATAATTTCTTGAAATCTAGCATTACATTTCGGATATTTAGATGTAATTTATATTTTTTTATTTATTTATATTTTAGTCTGTCGTAGCCGTTCTCTTCGCTCTTGCCGCTGTAGCATCAGCTGGTCTAGTAGTACCCCAAGCCTACAGCTACGGATTAGGATACTCCAGCCCTTTGGCTTACTCTGCAGCCTACTCTTCTCCACTCGCTTATTCTGCCCCACTCGCCTACTCTTCACCTGTAGCCGCCTACTCTGCCCCTATCGCCTATTCTGCTGCCGTAGTAGCTGCCCCCGCTATCAAATCCGGGTAAGGAATTAATTGTCTATTATAAGAGCATATTTATTATGCACGTGAATTTGAATAAGTTAATGTGTAGAAGTTGCCCTTGTTGGAAGATAACTTAGTAAAACAATTTGCAACAAAGTTTCTCAAGCATGTAGGTACTTTCTATTGTCGTAAGGGAAATTACCTATTTTCTGCAAAGATTAGTCTTATGTATAAATACAAATGATTTCAGTTGAATGTTCATTTGCTTTAAGTGAACATTTCTATAGAAATGAAGGTTTAATTAGACGCTAATTTGTTGCAATAATAATTATTATTTTCAGATACGTTGCCGCTAATCCTGGTGCTGTCCACACTGCTCCCCTTCCAGAAGGACCTCACGCTTTCAGCCACCACCTTAACACCGCCCCAGCTCCAGGAACACACTACTAAAATTAGTTTTCTCAGGACCAAATTTGAATAAATAATAAAGTGATAATGTGAATCTATATTTGCCTTTCTATTATTTTTTTGAAATCTCTATAGGCTCAGGCTGTTGCATTCAAAGGTATCTTATTAGTTTATTTTCAACAAAAATATAAATCTATGGAGTTTGAACAAGATAGTTTAAAATTTTGTGAAGCCTTAAGCATTTTTATAAAAATTAATCATTTTCTTGATTGAAAATGCTGAAGGAAATCACAACTATTTTGATATGATTGTATTTAAACGCTAAAGTTTCCACAAAGACACACGACGCATTTCACTCACTGTAACTTCTTCAAGTAAACTTAATCCTAACCTAGGTAGGTAATTCGGCCGATAAATAGCAAATATCGACCAAGGCTGAAGTTTGCAATTCGTGGCAGGAGCCGAGGATTATAATAAGCCGACGTTGTTAGGTACATATTATCATGAAAGATTTGTGGGGTCTGTGTAAACTTAAGAATCTGAATGTAATAAATTTAAAAAAAATTGTATTGAAGTACAATTTTAATTAACTACTTATGCAAAGAGCTTTCGACCTATAGGAGCGCTAATATGGTCCTTTACTGACCGTAAAGTACCTACTGTTCCTGACTAAAGAAACACTGATGATGAGTTTTCCTAGGTCGCAAGCGCTCTGCATAAGTAGAAAATTAAAACTGGACTTCGATACAAATGAAAAATAATTTTTGTGGTTTTAGATTACACAGAAAAAAATCTATATTCTGATTGAATATTGCCTATAGTCAGATTTGATTCTAGATTTTTTGCGTGTAAAATAGCTATTTATGTAACAAGTTGTGAAATGAGCGTATTTTTTTCCACTTAATGTGAAGATTGTACCACGAGCGAAGCGAGTGGTTCAACACATGTGCAAAAAACCAGCCATTTTGCGACGTGTTTCATACAAGACTTTTTGTGATTCATTCAAAATATGTAAAATTCAAAATATAAACTCATTTTAACACTGACACCAAATGCACTCTAAATTCCATTTCAACACTCAGTGATAAAATGAGATCTCATTTTCACACATGCATTATTTTGGCATTTGTGTTAAAATGAACCACTGTTGACAACTAAAATAAATATCATATAGATGACATTTCGTAACTGAATCAAACGAATAATTGTGCAACAGCTGCTCCAAAGGCAAAAATATTGCTTCTTATACTTGGCTCCCCCTGTACATTTTTATTCGATATTTTGTTTTCTTCAATTAAGAAAAGTTCCCCGTAATAATCACACAAATGTTCACCAAAATCCGCCTATATAAAAAAAAATATCCTGTGTCAAATGGGTTGCAAATAAATTTGGATCATATCATAAATTTACCCCATCCAGTGTAGATACCTCGCTGGACACAGATACTTATACGTTAAATTAGAATATGCAAATAATAATAGAATGCTCTAGATGCCCTAAATATTTACCACCTGTCTCAAGGGAAACGAGAAAGTAAATCCACTTTGCATTTCCCCTGTGTAAATGGGGTGCATGTCCTTCACTATCGAATGTATACCTAATCTGACTTTAATCATAAGGAATTTAACTCTCTAGACGGCAAGTAACTTCGCGTTAGTGCATAGTTTAGCGTAACTCCAAAATTCCCTAGCTTTACTGGCAGCATGACCCTGGTAAATTTTGATTTAATGCTGGCTATTAATTCAGCCAAAAGATGTTTTATAATAATTTTATAGGTTAACATAAAGATGTTTTATTCATAATTTCAATAGAGAGACACCAGAAAAAGTGTACATAGTTGAAGAAAGTAAACGAACGTTGGAATTCGAGGGTGATGGAGCGCTACAAAAACAATTTGCATTGATTGGTTCTTCCTTATAGCTCCCTCGTTCCGGCAGTAATTTATGGTAGCATTCCGGCTTTAGGAAAGTAGAAAAAGTTGCCGATATTTGTCGGGAAATTTTAAATTTTCAACGTTTTTGCTATATTATTCATTCATTCAAATAGGGTAAGAGTCTTACCGTGACAGTATAATCATGTTGAAACTAATGCTGAATAATAATATTATTCTAATACCAATATGAAACAGGTAGGTTACATACGCACCTATTGCAGAAATTTCATAAAAGATTGAAAAAGTAAGTACCTAAAAGCGTAAATAAAGGGAAAAACAAAAAAACGAAATAGACTTTATGCTGACATCAAAAACACATAATCCAAGATGTGGATGTCTCAGGCTCATTTACGACTGGCAGCGATCATAGAATGGTAAGATGTAAAGAGAATAACGAAAACAATAAAAGAAACAGCTAAAAATATGAAAAATAGGCAAGCAAAAAGTTAGCAAAAAAACAAAACAAATGCTGGAGAAAAGAAGAGAACTCACAAAACAAGAAAAAAAAAGATACATCAGAATACAGAAAGACTAACAAAATAGCCAGAAAGATGACAAAACAACATATTAAAACCTACCAAGAAGTACAACGGAAGAACGCACACAAAAGGGAAATTACAAAGCTAATGGACAAGCAAGGAAACATTATAGACGACAGAGATGGAATATTGCGTGTGACCCATAAGCCTCCTGTTCCAAACATATAAACTATATGAGAATAATTACCAATCGCTTAGAAACGAACTTCGATGATTACCAACCTAAAGAACTAGCAGGCTATGGAAAGAGCTACAACACTATAGAACAACTTCACACAATAAGAATAATAAATGAAAAGACGACCGAGTATAACATTACAACATGGCTAGCATTCATCGATTTCAGGAAAGTCTTCGACACAGTCGAATTCTGCACGAATACATCAGCGATATAAAACATGCTGAAAGAATTACATGCTCCAAAAAGCCAAGAAGATCAGATTAGAAATGAACGTATTAAAAACAGAGTTTATGACAAATGAGCAAACAGATAGGGACACAATATACATAGGAAACCAACAGGTGAAAAAAGTAAACTCCTACAACTATCTAGGACAAAAAATACCACTAGGCAAAGTCAATCAAGAGCTTGAAATTTAAAGGAGAATACTACTGGGATGGGCGGTTTATGATAAAATGCGCCACATATTCCGGTCCAAGTTACCTTTGAAGCTGAAAACTAAATTCTACAAGGAATGTATTTTGCCAGTAATTCCCTAGGGAAGCGAAATATGGACGCGCTTAAAGAAATCCTGGATAAGCTGAAAGTACCTACATCAGAGAGTAATCGTAAGGAGAATGATAGATATTACACGGGATCACGAGACCAACGAGTGGATAAGAAACAACAAGAGGTCGATGACATTACACATAGAATATGCACCCTCAAATGGAACTAGGCCAGCCACGTAGTGAGAAACACAAGCAACAACTGGAGCGGAAAAGTAACAAGATGGAGACCCTGGGGGAATCGAAGAAGCGTCGGCAGACCTCAACAACGCTGGTACGATGACATCAAGCTAACATCGGAACTAAATTGGTACCAGGTCGCACAAAATAAAAATACCTGAGAGGGGCTATAGAAAATAGAGAGCGGCTAGGAAGAAGGAGAAGAAGAAGAAGTAAAATGCAATTCAGTTTAAGGGGTTCGTCCGATAGGATGAAGAAATTAGAGAGGTGAGGAAGATAACGTAGACTGGTTGATGTAAGTTTTCTATATAGGAGTAGTTGAAAGTATTGATAAATAGTTGAGAAGGATTATCCCCGAAAAGCGAAAACAATCACTTTTGGAGAAATTATCGATGTATGAAATTCTAATTATCAAGCTTTTCTGAGATTGAAATAAAGAATTAGATTTTAGAATAAAGAATAAAATATGTTAGATACTCTCTACTTGTTTCCAAAGCAGAACACTTGATTCTGAGATAGTCAAATAATCATGTTCATGCATTAACAATTTTAAAGAAGGACTTTGACATTTCTACTATTTCAAAGCTGAGGAACACCAGTTTTTTTCAATCCTACATACGGAGTCAGGTTGGATTACGTGAAAAGTGCTTGGAGCAATTCTATCTCCAGGAAGAGGACATAAGTGATAGGCTTCTGGTTATCGATCCAACTAATGGAGCGCCATATACTCCTCTAGAAAACTATAACTACCTTACCCGTTGATCAAGGGTTTTGTCTAACGTCGCTTTTTACAGAGGAGAATTCCCTGCTACCTTAATACTATACACATAAATCAAGTGATCTATCGAATATAACCATTAAATAGTTTTAATCGTCTTTACGTCTCACGCAGCTTGATTTCACTCTGTTTAATAAAATATCCCTAAAATACGAGAGATAATTGTTATACAACATCATAGGTTTCCTGCTAGTAGATCGAAATCGACCACTTTGGGTTGGGGGATTTGTCAGAACTTTCTAATGGCATCTGAATTGGCAAGGCAAATAGAAGCTATGTACCATGACTTCACAAATTACTTTCATAGTAGCTGTTAATGGAAAAGCTATCGGAAATTGGTATTCGTGAAAACCATTTGGCGTGGATAAGGTCCTACTGATCTGACCGTCGGCAGATTGCTTCAAGATCACGAGAAGAAGAGTTAAAGTCTGACAGCTGATTCTTGAAACGAGGGACTAGCGTTCTAACAAGAACAAATTTTCCGTTTTCATCACAAATGCGCTTTTTGCATGGAACCGATAATTGAACCAAGAAGAGCACGGCGCTTGTTCTGATAGGAATGCAGATCTTCAGTTCCGAGAATCAGATACCTGGGATTCATGTGTGTGGTGTGATGTGTCCTTTTTTACCGAACCTAATACTTATCTGCTTTATGCGGAAGCTGAAAAATTTTTTGGTAGGTACTGTGGATGCCAGAGAATTTATATCTACAGTGAGCAAGACCGCTTTGTTAGATGGTGTATCTCCAGGGTTTGCTAGACCCCTTTTAGTCCAAGAAACGGGGATATGAAAAGAGGGTTTACCTCAACATAATTAGAAGTTAACATTTTTTTGGGGGGATCAGTCTATTTAAATATTCTAAATAACATATTAAGTTTGCGACCTTGTACTTCTATAGGGTTTTTAGTTAGGGGTGGTTTTTAGGGGTAATTTGCGGTTTATGGAGAACGCTGCTCGAAGGGATGGTCCAATTTACAACTTCCTCGTACATTAGGCAAGTCCGTGCGCGCTTAATTTTCAAGCAAAAAATTCGAACAAAGAAGCA